TGCCCTCCCTGTCTGCTTGCCCTCCTCCCCACTGCCAGTGCAAAGTCTCAGCCGAAAGCCTGTTTGTGGGTGCATAGTGCAAAGCTTGGGGCCCCCGCAGTGAGCTCCATGCTCACCCTGCCTGAGACCAGCACTGGCTGGTCACTCCCTGGCTCGCTGCATCCTCCCCTTCCCTGTTCCCCCTCCTGCTCCTCCCTGAGCCTTACATGTCTGCATTTCAGCTTCATTCTCTTACTTGTTTTACAATACCTGGAATACAAGGTGTTCCCTGCCCTTATGGTGCCATCCGGTGCCAGCAGCGCCACAGGCTCCCAGGCTGCGAGCCGGCAGTCCCCCAGCGGAGCTGTGCAGGGGATGAGGGGCTGGGGGGGGCACAGCTCGGAGTACAAGTAGGGCTCCTCCTCCCATGCTCCCTGAGCCCGGCATCCCAAACCACCTGCACCCCGGTGCTGTTTCACCGACTGCCATCCCCGGGCTCGACAGCCTCCTGCACAGCCCTGGCACGGCCCGCTTTTCCCCAGTAGCATCACTTATGCTGCCACAAGCAGGTTTGTTTCCTGAACCCAGGAAATAAAGAGGAGCACAAAGGAAACATTGCTCTGAGCCTAAACACAGTGTAAAACTTCTCCAAAGCCCCATGCTAAGGACAGGAGAGTGAGACCTGGCTGGTCCTACTCTGCTTGCCTGGGCTCACAGCTTTCCCTCTGCTTGCAACAGCCTTGGGGCCAATGCTGAGCCTGCTCTGAGTTTGGTATCCCCAGGACCAGGGCTGTAGGGCTCAGGCTGTATTCTTAGGACACTCAGGTTAGGCTTAGGGCTGGCTCTATGGTTAGGAGTGAGGTCGCAGGCTGGTTTCAGGGTTGCATTTGCAGTGGAAGATGCTGTAGCCTCAGCTGGGGTTGTCCTGTTCTGTGGGGCACTGGCGGATGCTGGAGTGGAAGACCCCGATTTGCCATCCGGTGTCAGGTCTGCTGTCCTCCTGGAGAGCGCTGTTCACCTTCGTCACGAGGGTTTCTCGCTTCTTGGTGCTCGGCCATGTCGGGGTGCCTCTGTGCGTCATGACCTGCGCAAGCACTGGCCTCCTCCCGCTCCCCATCTCTCCTACCTGGTCTCAGCACCGATGATGCCGGTTCTACAGCCCGTTCCCAGCGCTGCGTCCTCACCGGGTGTGGCAACTCCTGTGCTGTCAGGGCACTGGGGGATGATGCCACACGCAGGAGCAGTGCTTTCTGCCATTACACTGCACCGCAGAAGGGACTGAGTGCCAGCGCTCAGAAAACGCACCATCTGTCTCTCGCCAGGGACCCAGGTCCCAACCAAGGTATCGCTTCCTCCACGTGCCAACATCCTTATTTGCAGGCCAGAGAGTGGAGTGAGCGGCCCAGCCCAGGCTGGACACGGCCCGGTGGCAATGGCATGGCCATGGCTCGGCAGCGGCTCAGCGGTGGCTTGGCACTGGCCCTGGTGCAGCACGT